ACACACACACACACACACACACACACACACACACACACACACACACAAAGGTAGCATACAAAAAACAGTATTAATTATGTGGTACAGATAATAAGCATAAAAGGAATTGGAAAAATTAATGTAGGCTAGAGTTTGGAGGAAAGAAGTTGTACTGAAACTGGGACTCCAAGGAGAGTTAGGATTTGGATACATAAAAGACAGAAGTGAGCATACTCTTGGCAAAAGGTCAGAATGTGAACAAAACGGGGCAGCTAGGTGGTGCAGTGGATAGAGCACTGGCCCTGGAGTCAGGAGGACCTGAGTTCATATCCAGCCTCAGACACATATTTCCTAGCTGTGACTCTGGGCAAGTCACTTAACCCCAATTGCCTCACCAAAAAAAAAAAAAAAGAATGTGAACAAAAGCAGGGAGATAGAACTGAGTTAGGTCTGTAGGGGAAATAGTAAAGAGCCTGGTTTAGTGGTGGATTTGGGCTGGAAAGTATCAAGAAACAAGGTTAGATAGGTAGGATAGTCTTCTAACTCTTGTACCTATTATACTTGGACTTCCAAATAATTATGGAAAAAAAGGTTAGGCTTGGGTAAAAATTAAAATGTCCTCAAATGAATTGTCACTAACAGTATTACACCTACCTTAGGACTATTAAGTTAAACACTTTCCCAGATATCAGCTATGTATACTTTGATTCTGACATTAGCAATAATAGAAGAGATGGGCACAATACCTGCAAAAGGAGCCAACATATTAACAACTTCTATTCGGTCGATATAGATCATGACCCCACCACTAGGGAAAAAAAAAAGACATTACAAAAGGGAGTTAACTGTAAGATACCTGGCTGTAAAACCTGCAAAGCCATTTGCTCAAATATATTACATACGATGAGTCATCTCAGCAAGATGAAAAAATATAAAAACATATTCTGTCCTTCACACACCAAGATGACATTATTAGCAATGGGAATACATTTGTATTACTCTATCCATCCACATTTACCTGGTTTTTCTTATAATCAAAGGCACACAACAGTCAATTCTCATCCTTTGTGGTAATTATAGCCTATAAAGTCACTGTGAATACAGAATTAGGAATACTGAACCAGCGGTCCTAAGAGAAATACAGGGCTAGGTCCCTGCAAGCCGTTGATCACACCATTTACTTTAGCAGTTTCTGGAGCAATCTCATATTTAGACTGGTGAATTTCCTTTTCCTTCTTCTGGATGCATCCATATTACTGATGCATTAATACCAAACTCACATCCAGCAACACTATCACTCATGCTAAACAAAACTTATACAAAACTTACCTAACACATGTATTGTTTGCAAAACACATCACAGCATTCTTGGACTTGGGAACACTAGATAGCACTTCATCACTACCCTCAGGAGCCATTTTAAATAGCAAAATCACAAACCAAAAGCAGAAAAATGCAAAAAATGTGGCATTACATAGACATCAAAAACGACGCTTGTTTATTGTGTTAGAGCTGAAACAAGGAATCAGTATCATCTTGTTCAATCTCAGCTGGGAAAGTGCACATCAGGCAACTCCAATTTTTCACCATTCTTTGTACATCCACAAATGAGGAAAGTGCCACAAGTACTGATTTTGGAGTTACAAATAAATTTTAGCAAGTAGGCTAATTCACAAATACAGAATCCTCAGACGAGGACTGACATTATCCCTCTTTAAGATGACTATGGAGTGAGTTGTGTAGTCTATGATTAGGAAACTAGCCCAAATGAGAAATAAGCCTCATTTAACATGGGTAATTAACTAAGATGATCAGCCACACTTTGAAAATCAATAGAAGGGGCAGCTAGATGGCTCAGAGGAAAGAGCACTTGTGTTGGAATCAGGAAGACCTGAGTTCAAATCCAGATTCAGATACTCACTAGCTGTGTGACTTTGGGGAAGTCACTCAACCCTGATTGCCTCAAAAAAAAAAAAGTGACTCTTCCAAATAACCTCTAAAAGCAATCTATAAAAAATATAGAAAATATGACTAACACAAGAAATACCGAAAGTCCCTACTTTTATATTTTTATAGAAAGTATGACTAAAATCTGCATCCTCCACAGCTGATTATTTCCCTTCACAGATCCAAAAACTTTCTAGGTGTCTAATATTATTTATTAATCTACTTGAATTTAGTGTCTAAGATGTTGTAGCTTACATTCTTTTCTTCTTGGAACAATTCAATGTGCTGCCTAGATGGCCTCTCCCTCAAAGCATATTGTTCCATAAAAATGCCCCTGCAAATGGTCTGTAGATTTAATACAGTTCTACTGTGTTACTGAAATTTCCTTATGGAACTCCCTCTGGTTCAGTGGAATTTAAGACTACTGATGTTAAGAGTACAATATAAAGGTTCTGTTTAGAGAGAGGCCTCCACTGGAATACTGAGTCCAGAAACACCCCTAAGCTTGTCACATATGTATTTGAAAGCTTTCTAAGCAATTCCCAGATTTGTGAACAGGAACCTCCTTTACAAAAAATGGGAACCAAAAAAAGGCAAAGGGAGAGCTTACCTTGTTCCACAGGGCACATTCTTAACTTCGTCAGTTTGTAGTGTTGTCTAAAGGAAAAAAGAGCATCAACAGTCAAAATATATGTATGTGCTCCCCAAAGAAATACATGCTCCAGAAGCAAGCCTTTGCAGGGCACAAGGCAGAGAACCGGAGATAATAAGATGAGAAAAGATTCCATTACTATGTCATTTCCCCATGTAAACTGGCGGTTTATTACAGTCATTACTAGTTATGGATTTTTTGGCCACAGCCATTCTCAAAAGCTATCTTCCCAGTTTTATAGGAATTCTGATGAATAGCATCAGCAGAAAGAACCCATTCACCCCAGTAATCACAGATCTTCCCAAGTACTAATGCAGAAGCATCACGGCAGCAATTTGAATAGCACCAAAGAAGAGCTGATGGGCTCCAGATGCTGGTAAGAAAACTACCACATTTTCTCCCTCTGGGTCAGGGAATCTGGGTGGAGGGTGTGTTGCTACATGGCTCATCTACAGGGACAACCCAATAATCCAAGAAACCATGGATATGTCTTTGTGCTTGGGCATTTGACTTTCCAGATTCTTAAGCTATACAAAAAGAGTATATGTTAACTTTCCAAACTTCTCTCATCCTAACTTCCTGAATTCTACATTGCAGCTAAACTGGACAACTAGCTGTTCTCCTCATCTCTACCCCGCAGAATCTCGTCTTCCATCAAAACTAAGTTCAGATGTCCCCTCTTCCATAAAGCCTTCCTTGACTCCTGTAGTTGTGAGTGCACTCTCCCATCTCCACTTTCCTTATACTACCCTTCTTTGAGTAAATGTTCTATCTCCTACTAGAATGTTAGCTCCTCAAGGGCAAGGACTGTCTTGCTGATGTTACTTATAATCAAGATAACCTAGTATAATGCTTTGCACATAGTAGGCACTTAATGTTTGTTGACTTGAACTGAACTCAAAAAAACCCTTAACTAACATAAATGATTAAGTACAGTACTCTCCCTTTTGTCAATGACCCTAGAACACAGATCCAACTTTAGTCACTGGTTAGTTAAACCTTCCCCTCAGTGAAATCCTCCTTCAAGGGAACTTGTCAGTGTGCTGCCTTGATCATGCTATCCTCTCTCAAGTGATTTGTTCTGTAAAATTTGGCAGTCAAAAGGCCGAACTTAAGGATCTAGAAGGCCACATGTGGTCTCAACGCCACAGGTTCCCCACCCCTGGGATCCTCTGCCTTCAAAACCCTCCCAAGTATCTATTAAATACAAGCTGTGTACAAAGTACACAGTTTATAACAGAGCACTAAACTTCAGGAGGAAGAAACAGAAGAAAGAAAATTACAATAAAAACCTTAACCTTAAGGAGCTCACAATCTAGCTAGACAAAACAAACTCTTTAAAAAAAAACTACATAAAACAAGTGTAAAATAACATAATACCAAGATTTATTTCTATGATCTTTAAAATAAATGCCTAAGTGCTAGGGAAAACAGGCCAGTGAGGCAAGCGAAATTTAATTAGGGAAGGTCTCCTGAGAAGGTATTTTAAAGCTAGGTCTTGAAGGAAATCAGAAACCAGAAATATGAGATAGGAAACCAGAAATAAAGCCCAATGTTTATGTACAGATACACAAAGTTTCGATAACAAGATAAACTAGAGATCTTAATAAAAAAAGACAAATTCAACTTCAGCTGATATGACTGAAAATTGATTGAATGGAACCTACTATAAAAATATGGCTCTGGACAACTGCACTTTATTCAAAAGAAACAGAATTGGTTAAAAAGGGGGAGGGGAGGAAAAGAAGGACAAAAGGGTAAAGTAGCAATACATATTAGAAGATGTACTTATGTGAGAAAATCCAGGAAGCAGGGAGGGGAAATCAACAGTGAAAGCATTCAGATGACAAATATCCCAACCACTAAGGTAAAGAATTCACTATTCAACAAAAATTGTTAGGAAAACCAGAAAGCAGTCTGGTAGAAATTAGATATAGACCAACATTTCACACCATGTACTAAGATAACATCCCAATGCTGAAGGCCTCAAATAAACCAATATTAGTAACAGTGCCTTTTACAGTAGCAAATAACTTTAAACAAAGTAGATGCCCATCCACTGGGGAATGGCTAAACAAGTTGTAATACATCAATGTAAGGGAATATTACTGTGCTAAAAAGAAACAATAAATATGAACATAGAGAAGCACTTGGAAGACTTATGATGTGAAAAAAGTTAAGCAATTGGAATCAGAAAAACAATAAGCAAAATGATAACAATGTAAATGTAGACAACTACAAAACAATCAAAGCTAAATGTCGCAAAAGCATAATGGGGGGGGCAGGGGGGAACATGAGCATATATTAAGTGCCCACTATGTGTCACGCACTGTACTAAGCACTTTACAAATACCATCTCATTTGATCCTCTTCACAACCTTATAAGTGGTATTATTTATCCCCATTTTACAGTTGAGAAAACTGAGGCAGACTGAGGTTAAATGACTTGCTAGTAAGTGTCTGAGGCCAGATTTAAACTCAGATCTTCCTTACTCCAGATCCAGTATTCTATCCATTGTATCCTCTGAGCTGCCTCAAAAGAAGTTTAGCCCCAAAGAAATAGGCATCTCTCTTCTTTCCGTGAATGTGAGACTATGGGCATAGAATAGTTCATATAAAATCACTGTAGATGAAATAAAAGGAAAAAATAGTTTAGCCTGGAAAAGAGAAGTCAGTAGGAGGTGATGAGGAATAAGGTGGATGAAGGATATATTTAAGTACATGAAGGGAAGAAGAAACAGATTTGTTCTGCTTGGCCTCAGAAGGCAAAACTAGGAGGAGTCAACAACAAAAAATTCCTCAATAACAGAGCTATGCCAAAATGGAAGAGGCAGGTTTCCCCTCTCTAGAGGCCTTCAAGCAAAGGTCTGATGACCTGATTGCACACTCAGCCCTACCCTCTCCTAACCTCCAGACTGAAATCCCTACCTGCCTATTAGACATCTCAAACTGGATGTCCTAGTGACTTATGAAATCCAACCTATCCAATACAAAACTCATTATCTTTCCCTCCTAAACCCTCCCTGCATCTTCCAAACTTCCCTATTACTGCTGAGGATACCACTATCATCCCAGTTACCCAGGCTCCCAAACTAGATGTCATCCTCAACTCCTCACTCTTTCTCATGCCACCATATCCAATCTACTGTCAATTCCTGTTGAATTTACCTTTATAACATCTCTTGTGTATACTCTGACACTGCCACTACCCTCATGCAGTTCAAATCCAACCTCCGATACTTACCAGTTAGGTGATTCTGGATAAATCACATAACCTTTGTCTGCCTCGGTTTCCTCAACTGTAAAATTGGGGTAACAACAGCACCTAGCTCATAGGGGTGTTGTGAGGATTAAATGAGATATTTGTATAGCAATTAGAATGGTGCTTAGCACAAAATTAGCACTTAATAAATGCTCCTCCTAATCCCCCCATCACCCCATGCCTGGACTATTGCAATGGCTTGGTAGTTTATCTTCCTGCCTCAAGTTTCTGCTTATTCTGGTCCATCTTCCACTCAGCTATCAAATTAATCTTCCTAAGGCACAGGTCTGATCACATCTCTGTCTCTCTCTCTCTCTCTCACACACACACACACACACACACACACACACACACACACAGAGCCATTCAATTAACTCCAATGACTCCTTATACCACCTTCAGGATCAAATATAGAATCCTCTGTTTAGCATTCAAAATCCATCACAACCTGGTCCCCTACTACCTACCTTTCCAGTCTTCTTACATCTTGCACACCACCACACACTCGGAAACCAGTGACACGGCCTCCTTGGTATTCCTCAAACAAGACACTCCATTCTCCCAACTCCCAACAAATGCTTGCATTTCCATTGACTGCCCCCATTCCTGGAATGCTTTTCTTCCTCTCAGCTTCCTGGATTTCTTTGGCTTCCTTCAAGTCTCAGCTAAAAATCTCATCTTCTACAGGAGGCCTTTCCTGATGTCCCCTAATTCCAGTGCCTTACCTACATTGATTTTCTCCAATTTATCCTGTCTAGAACTTGTTTGTATATAGCTGTTTGCATATTTTGCATTAGACTGTGAGCTTCTCAAGAGTAAGGACTGTCTTTTGCCTTTCTTTGTACTCTGAGTGCTTAGCACAGTGCCTGGCACATAGTAGGTTCTTAAATAGACTTACTGATGACTGACTGGCAAAGGTTTAATGGCCAATTAAGTATGCCAAAAGAGAGGTCTTTGGTGTTTAGGTACAGGTTGGATCAATTGGCACCAGATTTACTTTGACTCTGGTATCCTATGATTCTGAACAGCGTCACATTAAAGGGTCCAGGGTTAAGAACAAAGCGGGTAATATAAGACCAAAAGCCACTGTCCAACAGATAAGTGATTAAAGGATATGAACAAACAGTTCTCAAAGACTGCAAACTATTAACAGCCACATGAATAAATGCTACAATTCACTAATAGTAAGAGAGATGCAAACTAAAACAATCTGAAGTCTTACCTCATACCCTGCAAATTGGCAAAGACAAAAGATGGCACTAGTCCAGGGGTGGGGAACATGCGGCCTTGAGGCCACACATGGCTTTCTAGATCCTTAAGTGTGACCTTCTGACTGAATTCAAATTTTACAGAACAAATCCTTTTATTAAAAGCATTAATGGACTAGTGACTAGTCCATGGTAAGGGCTTGTAGGAAAACAGACATACCAGTACATTGCTGGTAGAGTTGTCTACAACCATTTTGGAAAGCAAATTTGATGTATGCAAACAGAGTGACTAAAATGTCTATACCCTTTGACCCAGAGATTCCGAGGAGGCTATTAATAAGAATGTCCCCATATTCACCAAAATATTTATAGCAGCATTTTCTGTGACACTGAAGAACTAGAACTAAAGAAGATGCCCACTAATCGGCAAATGATTAAACAACTGGTACATCAGTGTAATAAAATGTTACTGTGCTTTAAGAAATGATAAATGATATAAAGGTAGCTAGCTGTCGAAGTGGATAGAGTGTCTGAC